GGGGGGGGGGAGCTGACCGGAGAGGCCGTGGGTCCTGGGTCTCTGCTCAGATCCGGTGCGGGGGCACAGCGTCTGGCTCGGTGAGGTGAACGGGAGGGTTGAGGAAGCCCGGGCTGAGCACGGGGCCCAGAACATTCTGGAAACTCCCCTGCTGCACATGTCCCTCGAGTGCGCCATCTTTGCCCGGGGGCGGGGGATGCGGGCGCTGAGGGCAGGGGGAGGGGCGGAAGGCGGTCGGGGACGCGAGAGTCAGGGGCTCCTGGGTCTCTGCTCAGATCTGGGGCGGGGTCTTTGCTCAGCTCTTGAAGGTGAACAGGAGGGTTGAGGAAGCTGTGGCTGAGCGCCAGGCCCAGAACATCCTGGGAAAGGCCCTGCTGCACATGTCTGCGCATTGCACCATCTTTGCCGGGGTGGGGGAGGGGAAAGGGGGCCGCGGTGACCAGAGACTTCTGGGATCTCTTCTCTAGTCTTGGGAGGGTATGGAGAGCATCTGGCTTCCAGAAGTGAACGTGAAGGTGAACGATGAGGAACTCGTGGCTCAGTGCCGGGCCAGATCATCCAGGAAAAGCCCCGGCTGCACATGTCCTGGGTTGAACCATGTTTGCCTGAGGGGCGGGGCATGCGAGAGTGCGAGGCAGGGTGGGCAGTGACCGGAGATTCAGACCCTTCTGGGGTCTTTGCCCAAATCTTGGGTTGGAGCAGAGAGCGTCTGGCTCTGTAAGGTGAATGCAGGGGCTGAAGATGCCACGGCCAAGCGCCAGGACCAGAATATTCTGGGAAAACTCCCTGCCATACATGTTACAGGAGTGCACCATCGTTGCCCATGGGCAGGGGGTGGTGATAGGAGCTTCTGGCTCTTTGAGGTGAATGAGAGTGCTCAGGAATCTGCGGCTGACAGCTGGGATCTGAACATTCTGGGAAAGCCTCTGCTGCTAGCCCTGCAGGTCCAAGTGCTGAAATCTAAGGAGCGGCCCCTGTCTGTGTCTGACCAGGATAGTCAAAGGCTTCCTAGAGTCGTGGCTTCAAATCTGAGGACAGAGATTGCAGCTGGCTCAAAGAGGGCTGTGGGAGCACTGCGGTCCTTTGGCCCAGAGAACCCCATTCTGGGCTCCATTGTTCAGATAAGGGAGCAGAGAGGAAGCTGAAAGGGTTCGGACAGCCTTAGGCCAAGAATGAGGCTGAGGACAGAGTGCTGGAACGCTCTCCCTGAGGCAGAGTGCTACATTAATTCCTTCTCTTTGTCTTATCTGCTTTGGTCCCCAGAGCTGACTTGTCTAGGACTCCACCCCTTCCCGCTAGGGTCCTCTGCCTCGAGGTTCCTGAGTGACCCGCCTCCCTCTGCAGAGCAGACTCAGGAAGGAGCCTACAGGACACCAGAAGGTCAGAGCCTTGGGGTGAGCAACACACTCAGGTAAGCTCTCTGGCCTGTGTGCCAGCGCCCGCGCTAAAGACCCAGGGGAAGGAAGGCGGGCCCCTCACCACCAGGAGCACCTCAGCCAGCATCCCTGCCCCTAGTCTCAGGCTTTGTAGGAAGGGCATGCCCTGAGCACGGGGCAGAACCAAGCCCTACCCCAGGCCAAGAGAGAAAGCAGGCAGGCTGAGGGTCGGAGGACGAGGGGCCAAAGACTGCTTGGAAACTGGGCAGGTCCTCAACTCTGACTCTGAGGGAGGAGAACTCAGATCCTCCTAGGGTCGGGCTGCTTGTAGGACCCACAACGAGGACTTGAGACCCCTGCACTCTTGATCAGAGGGCCAACTCCGCCTTGCTGTCAGTAGGGAGTTGGGGACTAAGTGTATAGCTGCTCCTAACTTGGTGTGAGGGTGGAGGGGGCCGTGGTCTCAGCAGTGTGGCCTTAGCTCATCCTGGACTGGCGAAGCCATCTCCTGCTTGGCCCCCAGCTGGGCCAACAGGAATTCACCCCCTCCGCCATCTTCTAGCTCTGGGGTGTCAGGGAGGTGTTTGTGTGGGATGGAAGATACATGCATGTGTCCACAGTACTGAGATATGGTCTAGCTGAATGAGGAGTAACTCTTTTTATTTGCGTAAGGAAACAGATTCAGGGGCGTCCAGAATTGCTGCACCTTCACTTTTTTTTAAAAAAAATGTTTTCTGTTTTGAGACAAGGCCTTGCTGAATTCCCAGGCTTGCTTCAAACCTGCAATAACAGTCATCCCGACAGCTGGGATTACAGGCATGTGCCGCTATGCCAATGTAAACTGGGTTGTTTTTACCTTTTAGGTGTTAACATTGTTTCTGCTGTGAGCCTTGATATGCAAATATCCCATCTTTGTGTAAATAAAGTTTTATTGGAACACAGCCACACTCATTTATGGGTGATCTATGGCTCCTTCCCTTTAGGAGTACACAGAGTTCATTACCTGTCAGAAAAACAACCTACAAATACTGTTTTTACAGAAATTCCCAAGACATGGTTTACAGGGTGGGATTTACTTAGAGAAGATGGAATTAAGATGTAGTGGCAATTTTTCTATTGGGAACAGCTTCTGACCTTGATATTACTTAACAGGACTTACTGCCTTAATTAACAGTTCATTTCAGCATGTCTTCAAAATAAGTTAGATTTGTCTTGGTAATGCAGTCAACATGGCTAAGCAATGAATCTGGTGGTGGCGAGAAACAGTTTTGTTGGGTGTGTTTTTGGATGAGGGTGTCACTTGAGGAAAGGGTTGCATATCACCTGGAGGTGTTTGGACACCTGAGCCACTGGGTGGACAGCCCTCCATAAGGCACTGGGCATGCAAGTGTGGGGTATAAACCAGGCGCCAACATGTAGGCTGCATTCATTCCCAAAGAAAAACAGTATATCATCACTTCTGTTTCCTTGTTCTCAGGGCCATCACGTCTTGATGTGAGGAGTGCCACATTTATCAGTGGAGGAGCAAAGGCTGTTTAGGAGAGCTACAAGGCCAGAATCTGCCAGAAGTCAAAGTGAGAAATTTTGGTGAGGGCTAAATTTAACCACGGTGCCCCGCACTCACAAAATGCAGGGGTCCCACAGAGCCTGACATCTGCTGTTTTCACCCCAGGAACCCTGCGGAGTGTGGTTGCATGCCATTTGCTCTCATTTGTGCTAAGTGGTTGAGGGTGGGGGGACTCAGGGAGTGGAGGACTTTGGTCCATTCAGTGTCCTCAGGTCAGCAGAGGGAGCTGTCTATGGGCCCAAGATGGAGGACCCCAGAGACTGGCAGACCCCAGCTGCAGAATCTCCCTGAGGACTGAGAGAGAGCACAGCACAGAAACAATAAGTCTCACAAAGTCTGCCTGTCCCCTGGGGTCAGCCCTGGAAGTCCCAAGTGGCACACACTCAGTTCTGACCTGAGCAGAAAGCTGGGAGGTCTTCAAGGGATGATAAGGTCTTGGTCTCAGAGAGAATAGCTCTTTTCAGCCAGGAATGAGGATCGGGGAGGGAAGGCCCCGACAGGAGGAAGATGCAGAAACTACGGAACACACGGGGCTCCCTCATCACAGCCTCGATGGGCACAGGTCCTGCTATGAGTCCTACAGTTCCCGTGTGTGGATGAGGGGTGGATCCCTGCTCACTTCTTAGAGACTGGGGATTTCAGAGAGGTGTGGGACTTTACTTGAGAGGGTGTCTACAGGGTGACACAGGGAACCTCATCTGCCCAGCAGACACGAGGACCCCAGCATCAGCCAAGGTCGTGGCAAGGACCCTAAGGGAGGACTGAGGGTACCATGCCTGGGAGGTGGGTGCTGTACCCACATCTCTCCAGATCCCTCAGTTGTTCCAGGAAGCGTGGATCTTCCTCCTGCTCTCCTGAGTCCTGCTCCTCCTGTCTTCAGCTTAGTGAGGCCAAGGAGGTGGGGTTATGATTTAAAGATGAAGGCTTTAGGTCATCCCAGGAAGTGTATTAAATGGACTGGATATGCTCCCAAACTCAGCAGCTTCCCGTTCCTTCAGGTGCACATGGAGCAAATGTCTCCTTCCTGAGCTCATGGGCCCCGCTGCATCTGAACACCTCCTCCTGTTTCCTCTGGGCAGCTGTGGCCAGATCTGAGGCCCCTTGCAGCCTTTTGTGCCCTGTTAGGGAAGTTGAGGGCACTTGTTGTGACTGATTATCACAGGCCAGCCTAGGACTAGGGTCCAGGACCTCTCTGAGCACAGGCGAGGTCCCTGAGTGAGCAGGGAGGGGACCAGCCACCCTGGCCAACAGGGACCTCAGAGTGCAGCCCAGCCCGCCCATGCAGACCCCAGGACTGCGCTTGAGGTCTATAGCCTGAGGGCCTCCATGCCTCCTACAGGTGCTGCAGGAAGCAGGTGGTGAAGGTGTTGGCACGACAGTGTCTTCGGATCGTAGCCACGTAGAAGGCCCAGGTGGTGCCGGGCGTCAAGGTAAGGTGCTGCCCTTAACATGTGCCAAGAGCCCCATAGCCCCAGAGCGAACGAGACTGTGCAGTGCCTGACTCTACTCGCCCTACATCTGCACTGGAGCATTAACTTCTGTGAGCGAGCTGCACCCTAAGGAGCAGTCTCGATCCCTGTCCCAGGTTCTCTGGGGCTGGCACTACTGTTGTACAGGGGTCCGCAAGGCCCTAGAGCACTCCCCACAGCACAGACCCAGACTCAGCCTTTGTGAGCACTGCTAAGGGTGTGGTTCTAGCAGAGGCTTCTTACGGGCTTCCTCTCTCCCACAGGCCTTTGAGTCCCACCACCGAGCTCCTGCCCACTGTCCATTACTGGAGCCATCATGTCTCGGTCTCGCAAGCGTCGGTGCTTCATGCTTGAGGAAGGCTCTGAGACCCAGGATGAGGGCCAGTGCCCCAGTGGCCGTCGGATCGCTGTCCCCGTGGAGGAGGAGGGTTCTTCGTCCTCCTCCTCCTCTTGCTCCTCCTCTTTTCCCTCCTCTACTTGTTCTTCTCCCTCCTCTTCCTCTGGTACTTGCTCTCCTTTAGTGTCACACTCCCCAGAGGATAATGCGCTCACTGCTGGGAATCCAGTTTGCCCTGATAGTCCTCAGGGAGCCTGTTCCTCTTTCTCGGCCTTGGCCTTGGCCTCCAGGGTGCAGAGCCCATTCGATGAATATTTCAGTGGCCAAGGCGGCGAGGGTGCAGGCAGCTCCCAGGAGCTGCCAGGTGTTGTGGTTATGTCTGATAGGGAGAGAGATGAGAAGGTGAACACTCTGGTAAGCTTCCTACTCCTCAAGTATCAAAGGAAGGAACCAGTGACACAGGCAGAAATTATGGGTGTCATCAATAGTCACAGCCAGTTCTCTGTGATTTTCAGTGAAGTGTTTGAGTGTTTGCAGCTGATCTTTGGCCTTGATTTCAAGGAGGTGGAGTCCTCTAATCAGTCCTATGTCCTTGTCACTGTCCTCGGCATCTCCTATGATGGGTTGTTCAGTGAAGTCCAGGGTATGCCCAAGACTGGCCTGCTGGTACTTATTCTGAGCATAATTTTCCTGCAGGGTGACAGTGCCTCTGAGGAGGAGGTTTGGCAAACTTTGAATGCAATGGGCATTTGGGCTGGAATAGAGCACTTTGTCTATGGGGATCCCGGGAAGCTTGTTTTTGAAGATTTTGTGCAAGAGCAGTACTTGGTGCATCAGCAGGTGCCCGACAGCAATCCTCCTAGTTACGAGTTTCTATGGGGTCCGAGGACCTTCGCTGAGACCAGCAAGATGAAGCTCATAGAGTTTCTGGCCAGCATTAGTAGGGTTGATCCCAGAGCCTTTGGACAGAGGTACGAGGAGGCTCAGAGAGAGGAGGAAGAGAGGGCCCAGGCTAGTGCAAGTGCAGGAGAGGCCCTTGGCCATTGCATGTTCTGGGGCCACTAGCAGCTTTTCCTCCACAAAGTAAGATGAGAACCAGTTGGTAGTGTGTGGGTGTTGAGGGGCTAGGTTAGAGTTGGGGTCGTACAGTAAATCATCCTTGGCCGACTCTTCTGCTTATGTGACCTGGGGATTTATGTCTGTTAAGTAGTGTAGTTCAAAACCTAAAGTTACAAATTGTATATTTTTTGCTGTTTGTAAAGTTTAAGAAAAAAGTTTTGGTATTTTGTGATTCAAGTTGGGAAGACTTGCCTTTTTTATTTTATTTTTTATTTTTTGGTATAGGGGATCGAACTGAGGACCTTGTGCTTGCCAGGCAGGCACTTATACCACTGAGCCATCTCCTCGGCACCATTACCTCTTATTTTTAACAACATACCATGGCATTAGCATTGGAATTTCTTTTAAAATGTGAAGAAACTTAACTAAAAAAGAAAAAAAAAGCATTCTCTTTAGTTCCTTTTATTTTTAATCTATTACTTTATAAAATTAAAAGATAGTAGAAGGCTGAGGCAGGTGGATTTCTGTGAGTTTGAGGTAAACCTGGGCTACATAGTTTAAGACTGGCCTAAATTAGTGAGATCCTTTTTCAAAAGCAAAATGCTAAATTAACACATATGCCTAGGTCTTGTTTACTTTAAAATTTTTTTTTGAAACAGGATCTCATTATATAGTGCAGGCTGGCCTGGAACTTGCATATGTAGCCTAGGCTGGCCTCAAACTCATGGTGATCCTCCTGGCTCAGCCTCCTGAGTGCTGGGATTATAGGATTTATTTACTTTTTTTTGGTGGTGTTTTTCTGTTGTCTTTTTTTTTTTTTTTTGAGACAGGGTCTTGCTATGCAGTTCAAGCTGGCCTTGAGCTCACTTTGCAGCCCAGGTTGGTCTCCAACCTACAGTGAGCCTCCTGCCTTAGCCTCCCGAATTCTGGGATTACAGGCATGCACCACCAGGCCAGGTCTTTTATTTACTTTTTAAGTCATAATAAGTGCAACCTGGGGGGTATTACCTGGCTTTAGTCGTGAAGTTTCCTCTTCTGTCAGTGGAATAAAAGCTTTCTTGAAAATGTGAAAGAAGTCATCAGGAAACTAGGTGGGGACAATATGTGACAAAGTTTGTTCTTTATCTCCGTTTGTTGCTCTGTAAAATTAAAATAAATGTGCAGTATGTGCTGGGCTTCTGACTAGCTGGAGAAAGTGAATAAAGATTTCCACTGCTACTTGGTGTGTTGGCTCCTGCACCGAGCATGTGCTCTTGCGGCCCTGGTGTGTGGTTTACATGTGAGAACACAGCTGATAGGGTGGTGGGACGGGGCAGTGGCCACAACAGGGAAGAGGGGCGCAGCCTGGGAGAACGTAAGGCCTGGCTAGCTCAGGGCTTGCAGAAATTGCAGTTTGTTCCACAGGAACTGATTTGATTGTAAGTGTCATAGCCAGGGCCAGCCAGTCCGTTGGGTTATTTTGGCACTGAAAAGGGAATACTGTTCTAAGCAGTTGTTTGTGCTTCACAGATAAAGCAGAAAGGATGCTTCCTGGGGTAAGATGGAATATGTCCTGAGCTCTGTCCTGCGGCAGCAAGAAAGACACAAGAGCTAGGTTAGGTAATCTGTGAACTGTGGGGAGTTGCAGGGACTCAAGAAGATATGGGAGGTATTTCTTTGAAGTCCTACCAAGAAAGTTCCAGAATGACACATTTTCCTGGCCTGGGAAATTCCACTGGAGCATCACATTTAGGTTACCTTTAGATCTATTTGGACAGCTCTGAACAAGGGCTAAGCTTGGGGTCAGGATGAACTGAGTGAAAACAGTAGTTTGTCAGGAAAGCTCAGAAGGCTGAAGAGGTGGGTCCTCCACCCACATTTTGGGAGCCTGAGCTGCATCCCCTGGGAAAGCTCCACATACTAAATTGTCACATGTCCTGTGACAGGGATGAGTTACTGAACACTAACTCATGGAATTTCCCTTTTGGGCCAGTTGCGTCCTCCACATCCTGCAGAGCTGCAGATCCTCTGATAAGCCCTGGAGAGCAAGGACAGTAAGAACAACACCCCCAGGGCTGGGGGTGGGATCCAGTCTTGTTAGAGATGGCAGCCACCTGCATTCCGTGTGGCCACCACTCAAGCCAGGCTCAGGGCTGGGTGCTTACACGCAGGGCTCACCTTCATGCGGTCCTGCTGGACAGGCCTGGTCCGGCTCGCTTCCCAGAGGAGAAGCTGCAGCCTCCCCGGGCCAGGAGTTTCCAGGGTGATGGCCCAGAAATGACAGGTGGGACAAGTATCACTGTGTTAATATATCTGGGGGCTGCAACAGGTCTCACTGTTTCCAGCCTGGGGCCCACTGTAGCTCATAATTTATTGGTGCTGCGTACTGTTCCTTAGCTGACAAAAATGATCTTGCAATCAATTGTGACAAACTGCATTGATGGGCTTGAAAGCAACGTGGGGATGAGTAAAGCACGCTTCCAGGTTTGTCTGGGTGAGACACGGAGGCCTGAGTGTAGGCAGTCTGCCTGCTCTCTGGTCTCTTCCTCTCTGCTGTTGTCCTGCTCTGCCCCCACTTGCCGCGAGCTAAGCAGCTTTGCTGCATCTTGCCCCTCCTGCCTTGGAGCCCACCAACTACACACTGCATTCTTTGAAGCCATGAGCTGGTTAATCTTGTCCGTCCAGTTGTCCATCTCAGGTCTTTTGTCCAGCAACTGGAAAGCTGACGTTCTTTAAGGTACCAAAATTAGGTCAAATATATTTGGGGGTTTGACCAATATTTTAAGGTACCACAATTAGGTCAAATATATTTGGGGGTTTGACCCATATTAGGTCTATGGGGTATACTAAGCAAGGGTCCTCCTGTCTGATCCCCAGTGTTCTTGGTAGCTGACTAGGCCAAAGAGTTGGGATTTCTCTCCAGAACTACTGCTTTCTGAAATTAGAAAAAAAAAAAAGATCTATTCTACTATTTCTTGTGTGTGTTCCTGTCCTATGAGAAACCCTGGTTTTCAAAGTACCTAACTGTACTTGCATTAGTGTTCACGTATGTTTGTTTACAGGGAGAGTAGTAGAGAATCATAGGATGTTCGATATTCATCAAAAGGGAGGAGTGGTTCTGAGTGTGCCGAGGCTGTCAGCAGTGCGGACAGCACGCCTCAGAATGCTGGTATTGTAGCGATCCCTGCTGAGGTTCACAGGATACTTGGACAAGCACACACGATGGTGTATTTGAAAGCACCTGCCACATAGTAGACCCTTTATGTGTATATTCACATGTGTATCTATACCCATATATGATATGAATGCAATGGCATCTAGATTTCTGGAAGATCTTCCTTTTAAAGGCTTCCTTACCTTTCCTAGCTTCACTAAGTTTTATGGGACTTTGTTGTCTTAGATCACTTTTGCTGCTGTAACAGAACACGCAGGACTGGGTAATTTATAGACCTTTATTTCCTGTAGCTCTTTTTCCCCCCATAATTTTATTGAGAAATAAGTAGCAATGAGACAGTTTTAAATCAAATTGGTAGGACAGTTCCAATAATTAACACATTGTGTATTGCCTTCCTAGTGGTTATTTATTGTACAAGATGCAGACATGATACCCTATTTACAAACACTATTAGAACACATCCCTCTAGTCCTTGAATTAAGAGAATGTAGCTATATATCTATCCTAACCATTTTGAACACACAGATACAAAATAGTTATTCATCTATATCTCCTTTTTTTGTTTAGTTTCAGCATTTAAATATTATAGGTGTGTGAACTCAGCAAAATATTCCAAAATAGTGTAGCTCTTGAATGGTATCTTTGGAATCTGGAGAGGGCCCGAAGCCCTGGGGTTAAAGGCTTGATCCTTAGCCCTTGATGCTGCTGGAGAGTGGTGGGGTCTTTTGGATACGTGGCCTACCCGTAGGTTGAGGCCATTGGTGATATGCCCTCAGTGGTAGTGGGATTCTAGCTCCTTCCTCTCATTTATACCAGGTGGAAAGGGGAATGAGGCTCTTCCATTGTGCACTCTCTCTATTCTCAGCAGAAGTCTGGCTATGCTCTGTGCAGTCCACCAGATCCCGTAGGACTTTGCATGGCTTCCACCTTCCTGTTGGCCCCAAACTCTGTCTCTCCCCTCTTTCCCATCCCTAATTCAACTTTCTGCTGGGAAAGAGGCTTGCTCTGTACCCTTTTTACCTTGTAGCCTGTCAGCCAGCAACACGGTAGACACATTTACTTTCTCAACAAAGTTTTCTTAGTTCACATGCAAATACCCTGAACAAGAGTAGGGAACTTGGTACACTTTATTATATAGTTGGTTGTCCACAGCCATGGGTCCTGTTTTGTGGATTCAAACAACCACAAAGAAAAAGTGTTCAGAAATCTATTGATTGTGTACTGCAAATATCTAGACATTTTTCTTATCACTGCTCCCCAAATAGCAGCACAATATTTGTTTACATAGCATTTGCTCTGTATTCAACCTTCTAAATTATCTGAAGATTATATATTTATTTATTTATTTATTTTCAGTACCAGGGATTGAACTTGGGACCCTGCAGTTACCAAGGAGGCGCCTATTCTACTGAGCCATCTCCCCGGCCCTCTAAAGATAATTTGAAGTTCATGTGGTGCTCACATAGGTTCTTTGCAAAGACTACACTATTTTATATAAGGGACTTGAGTATCTTTGGATACTGGTATCTGTGGGTGACCCTGAAACCAACCCCATGGATACCAAATGAGCACTGCATATGTTGCCCCTCCTCCCCTGACGTACCACACAATTCCCTTGGCTGATGTTCAGATGGTTTAATCTCACCCGGCATCTTATAAAAAAATGTGTAGCTTAATCCCCTCAAAACATAAAGGAGATGTAACTCCTGTATTAATTTCTTATTCAGTAGAGAAGGGAATAATTTTGCATTTGGAATTCGCAGCATCCCCCCAGCTCACACTGTTCTCCCTGGGAATGGTGAGTGTTATATGCCTAGGAGAAGCAGCTCCACTGCTTGCTGTGCTAGGGCTT